TCTTATTTCCCCGCTCTCAGTCTCCTAGTGCCAGTCAAGCCGCCTTAGCTCATTTTGAAGTGGAAACACGTCTGTGGATACACTTCCCCAAATAACTTAGAATTACATGAAAAACTTCCCTAAAGTCACACTTAAAGTGTTATGACAAAAACAGATGAACAAGAGCACAGCAGGGTTAGCTAAATAGAGAAAGAGGACTTTGATTTTATTTCTTAGGAATTCTCCTCCACACACCCCCCAGATAGGAGGGATTAGAAGTGGTGATACAGTCGTTAGCCAGGGAAATAGAGTCTTTTGTGGCCTGGGGGTCATGTTGCAGAGCTCAGCCATCATTTCCCTTTGTTCTCTGTGAGTTTAGGCAGAATGCAAGGAGGGGAACTCAGAGCCGAGTGAAGGTGGGTCCCGCAGAGCTCACTGCGAGAGGCAGTAGGGATGGGGCAGGTCCCATTCTCCTCTGGTTCCCCAGCTCTGTGACAGTGCAGATGGTGTCCTACAGAAGCTCATTCCTGTCCCTCCCAGCCAGATGCTGGGATCCCTCCTCTACTCTTTCTCCCACTCTCACCTCCCCACCAACACCTGGAGGCCTTTGTCCACTCCTTGACAGAGAAGCCAGAATGTCTAGCAGGTTCTGGGTGAGACTCAACAGGGCCAGGGATGGACAATATGGGGAGTCCAGGCTCAAGAGGCAGAGCTGGAGGGGTCCCTTGGACCCCTTCTGACCTGACTTTTGAACCCAAGCCTTGAACTTGAACTTGGAGCCAGTGAAATAAGCACAGAAGCCAGCTGAGAGCTGAACTCTTGTATGTATGAATATTCTCTCCCTTAATTGTATAGTTTACTGGGGCAAATGTGAGGCCAAAATGTGAGTCCTAGGTTGATGGGGGCTTCCCAGGTAGCTCAGCTGGTAAAGAATCTGCTTGCAACGCAGCAGCAGCAGCAGCAACGCAGAAGAGCCTGGTTCGATTCCTGGGCCGGGAAGTTCTCCTGGAGAAGGGATAGGCTACCTACTCCAGGATTCGTGGGCTTCCCTGGTGGCTCAGGTGGTAAGTCTGCCTGCAAAGTGGGAGAACTGAGTTTGAACCCTGGGTTGGGAAGACCCCCTGAAGGAGGGCATGGCAACCCACTCCAGTTTTCTTGCCGGGAGAATCCCCGTGGACGGAGGAGCCTGGCGGGCTACAGTCCATGGGGTCACAAAGAGTGGACACGCCTGAGTGACTAAGCTCAGCACAGCACAGCTTGATGGGACCCTGGGTCCCTCCAAGAGTCACAGGGCAGTTATGGGAAGGGAAGTTCTAAATGAAGGGAGAGGCAGTAATGGGCAGAGAGATGTTCCGGCAGTGTCTGGGAGAGGTGGCGACGGAGGAGAGGCTGCGGGAAGCTTGCCGGGGAGCAGAGATGAAAATGAACCCCGAGGAGCCTTTCACCCCGATAACTGAGCGATCCCAGCTGCCTCCACAGCTCCGATTTGAGTCCCCACCAAATTCTTCTAAAGACAATGGCTCCCGTGTGTGCCAGGCGCACTTACTTTTCAAGGGAATAAGGTAGGCCTCACAAGCTCAATTTTATGATGAGGAAACTGAGAGGCAGAGAAGCCCACCCCGTGGCCTGAGGTGCTGGGGGAGAGGCTGGGGGTGGGCGAGCGTGTGTGTGGCTGCTCTGTGGGGAGCGGAGGAGGTACTCGAGCCTGCGGTGGGTGCAGGGATGGGCGAGATTTGCCTCAGGCTTTTTGCTCCCAGGGGATGCCTGGTGACAGAGCTGTAGCCAACTGCCCCCTGGCTGAGGGCCAAAGGCCTGCCGGGGCAGAGCACCCTGACTCCAGGGGCCTGGGTGCTGCGTGACTCGGGCCAGGCTGCCCGCTGCCCCGCGGGCTGTTTGGTCCTGAGACGAGGCATGGGTGTCTCTCTTTTTCTCTCTCACACACGTTCACAGGCACATGCACAGATCCAGCTTCACCCTCGTCCTTCCAGACCACCCCCTTTCACCCAGAACCTCTGCCCTGGCTCTCTGGTCCTCACTGCTCGCTTCTCCTGATATCACCATCCCTGCTGAACTCAGGAGCGGGTCCCCAGACTCTCTGGCCTTCCCCCCTCAGGTTGTCAGGGTCTCCCAGGCCTCAGAGTTGGGGACTTAAGGCATACTACAGGGGGGACACCAGGGGCCTGGACAGTGAGCCTTGGGGGGCAGGCTGCTCCCAGGGAGGCTCCCCACCATTGGCCGAAGCCTCCTTCCACCTCATGGGGCAGCAGCAGCCACGCTTCAATCCCCTTTCCCGACACATGACACATCCCTCCTGGAAGTAAGCTCTGATCGAGGCAAGAAAAGGGATGGGGCGTGGCGGGGGGGCATGGCAGAGGGAAACCAGAAGGGAGAGGAAGCTGGCAGACCTCAGTGCGGAGAAAGGACACTCTGGGCGCTGAGAAGGGGGCGTTCACTCTTCAATCTGTGCCCCACTGCCCCTTCCCCCAGGTAAAGCACAGAGGACCCAGTGGGGGTTTCTATTTCAAATTCCTCCTTTATTTTGGACATTTGCTTGGTTGTGACTCCAAGTTATCAAAGATGCAGGACAAGAACTCTGTAGCAGGAGCAGTGGAGAGAAACGTCAGAGAGCAGGGGGTCCCTGCCTCTCCGCTTCCTCTTTAGGGTGCAGTTTGAAAAGTGTCCGAACAGTGTCCCAGAGCACAGACTCAGCAGCTAAAAAGTACAGTGTGGTGGAGTGGGGTGAGCTTCCTCTTCCACAGGCAAGGTCCTCGCAGCTGCTGGGAGGCTGGCGGGCAGCCTCGAGGCTGTGCCCGGAGCAGTGTGGGGTGGTCAGGACAGGGGGAGCTGTGGCCACCATCTCTCCAATGCCCCAAACTCAGATGTTGACTTGTGGGCTGATTGAGGCTGGGGAAGCTCTGGGAGGAGAGAGGGACTGTACGGAGATGCTTTTCACTCTGGGATCTCAATAGATGAGGGCCAAGAAGCACATGAGAGTTGACTGGGTCTTGACTTCTCTGAAGGTGGGAGGTACTGGAATTTTTGGGGTAAGGAGGGACAGCCCCTGATGTGGTTGTGCAGCTGTAGAATCCCAGGGCAGCAAGGCACTGGGGCTGGTCATCAGGAGGCAGCAAGGGTGGCCAGGCCCAGCAGCTCACGTCAATGGGTGTGCTTAGCCCAGGAAGGGCTGGCAGTGGGATGGGTATGGGGATGTGAAAGCCACTGTCCCTAAGCTGGTCCCTCCGGGCTCTCGGAGTCAGAGCTGCTTACCCCCACTGAGAGCTACTTCCTAGTAGTAGAGAACTTGAAGTCACCCAGTAGGAGAGTCAAACATGTTGGCTTTTTTTCTGATGTTAAAATTGTTTCACCAGCTAATCCTGCAATGTACTGTGGTCTTGGATCCATCAACATGCATCCGTGCACATAGGATCAGGCAATTGGAAAGTGTATCCAGCCCCCTGCCAGGACTGGGGCGAGAGAGAGAGTGATCTGGTTGGCAGGACTTTTCAGGGAATCCTGGCTTTCTGGAGCACTAAAGGGCCCTCAGAGTCCATCTGGGCGAGTCCCATTTCCCTGGAGCAAATGGGGTCTCAGAGGAGATAAGGGACTGGTCCTCAGAGGACCCAGAGTAACCCAAGTGTGGCTAGACCCCAGGTACTCTGGCTCTCAACCCAGTGAGCCCTGATTTCAGATTGAGATGCAAGGTGACAAGTGCTCAGAAGGATGCAAAGGTGTGGCAAATTCTCTCTTCCCCTTCACCCCTCCCCCAGCTGCACCCTCCCTTTCTCAGATGCAAAAATCAAAATTCAACAAAAACCAGGCAAGGGGCCTGCTCCCTTCTTGTCCCACACACTGCAATGACTCAAGAGAGGCTGGGGGTTACTAATGCCCTTAAAGGGGGAGTGGGCAGCCACCCCTTATGGCAACTGGGACACTCATCAGATGCAGCCACAAAACAGCATAAGGCCACAGCTGAGTTATATCTGGGATCTGGACTTGGGGCCAGAGCGACCCAGCAATAAACAGGCCCTCGTTCAGAGACTAGGGGTTGGGTCCGCGGAGGGATGGTGGCCAGCGTGGAATCTGCTTGCCGAGTCAAGCATCAAGGATGGCTCCCCATCCTTGGAGCCAGCGCTGCCGTCCCTGGTGGGAAGGCGGGGTGCTGGTCTGTGGCCTCACGGCTGGATGCCCAGGTAGGACACTGGGTCTCCGGAGGGGCTTCCACGCGGCAGCGTCGTTTCACGGGAGACTCCGCAGGTGCTTCTTGTAACCACCAGCTGGCTGCTGTGGCCGCCACCCTGATCACCTGTCACTCCCGTTGTCTGAAGGCAGACTTTTCTTTCTAGTTGGCACATCACTCTTCTGCTCTGCGGTTCCTGAAGGTGGCAGAGCCCTGGTATGCGCTGGTGGTGATGGTGTGTGTGCACACACCAGGTGGTGACAGGCCTGTGTGTACACACTTGGTGGTGACAGATGTGTGTGTGTGAATACACCTGGGAATGCACATGTCCTTGCAGGGCCGCACTGAGGCACCGCACTCAGCGTGGCAGACCAGGGCCCCAGACACCATGGGCAGGCTCTCCTTTACTAAGCTACTCAAACTCTAGTAACAAAACTTGGAAAAGTATCAACAGCTGGGACAGCTGGTTCCCAAGGCAGAGAAAGGATTTGTGGGGAGACAAGGCTAGACATCCATGTTGGGTGCATTCCCTGCGAATAACCTTATGTCATGGCCTTTAAAGTCCAGTCGCTATGTTCCATGAGGATGGGAGCAAATACAAGCATGTTCAGGAAGTAACATCGTGTTGGAACAGCTAGAGGGACTGCAGTCTCTAGGAAGCTGAAGTACAAAACTAGATGGTGAACTAGCTCTTGGATTCATTGCGGCAAGCAAGTCCTGAAAAAGCCCTTCAATCCTTCCCCACCCTTCTGGAGTTCTGCCAAGGCCTCAGGTCTGGCCTCTCCCCTTGCCCTCGCCCCCCCCACTTTCTCCTTTCATCCCCCAAGGACTTGGGAGACCTCCGGAGCCTTTGCTTAGCTGCCCCTGATGCTCCTGCTCCTCTCCTCAGAGTCTGGCAAAGCCAGGGGACAGAGGGAAGTGCAAGGGCTGTGGCCATGCTGGCCTGGCCAGAGGAAAGTCCCAACAGAGAAACCGGCCAGGCGGCCAACACGACCTGTCAGGCCCCCTTCCTCTGGGCCGTGGGGCCAGCCCCTGCCCTGGTACTCAATGCCCTCGACAGCCTGAATATGGGTGAGCCTTCCACTGTGGGGCAAGGAGAGCCGGAAAAACAGAAGGTCCTCCAGGCTGTGGGAGGGGTCATCCTGCTGTCCCCATTGATGACCCTGGTGGGGGGCAGCAGTGTTGGGGGGGATCGGAGGTGAAAGGGGTTACACGTCTGTACTAATAGCCCTTGGATTGGTGAAGGCCTCGCGCCCAGAGCCTGGCCACGTCACCGGGTAACTCTGGGGCGCTGCCACTTGGAGAGATGGGGGTCCCCCCTCCTTGTAGTAGGTGGGAGCAAAGGAGAGCCTCTCGCCTCCACCCCCATTGGGCACCATGTCAGCCGTCCGTATGTAGAAGGGGGAGCTGTATGGGGAGCAGGCAGTGCAGTGGCCGGCCGCCACCCTGCACGGTTGGCCGCAGGGCTCGCCGGGGACAGGCGCCAGGCTGCCTCGGCCGTCCAGGGCCTGGGAGCTGCAGGCATTGCAGGTGGGGCCTCTGGGGTGTGTGGGCAGGTCATGCTCCTCCTCCTCTTCCTCGTCTGCATCTTCCGCTCCGCTCTTCTTGCAGCAGTAATACTGAGGAGAGAGAGAGGAGGGCTGCCTGAGGGCGGGTGCCCCCCTCTGGGTATGTGCAGACACCCGCGCCCCTGCTCTGCCGAGGACCCCACACGGGGCCCTTGGTCAACCCTGGAAACACAAGTCAACACCAGGTTGACTTGTCAGCCCACAGTCCATAGCGAAGTCCTCCCAGCCCCAAAAGATCAGTTCTTCTCACTTCCTCCACCTACTTCCTGTGTATTAACTCCAGGTGGTTGTTGAGAGGCTTCCCAGGTGGCACTAGGGGTAAAGAACCCACCTGCCAATGCAGGAGACTTAAGAGGTGCAGGTTCGATAGCTAGGTGGGAAAGATCTCCTGGAGAAGGAAATGGCAACCCACTCCAGTATTCTTGCCTGGAGAATCCCATGGACAGAGAAGCCTGGTGGGCTACAGTCCATGCGGTCCCAAAGAGTCGGACACGACTGAAGCGACTTAGCACACACATGGTTAAGAGAAGCAGGGAGGCAGAGAGGGAGGGACATGCAGATTCTACTGAGCTCAGGCTGGGGTGCTGGGAGCTGCTTTCAGTTTCCCCACAGCGGTGTCCTTCCCACTAATCCTGAAATCTCAGACCTGCGGGAAACACCACAGAAAGACCTGGTGCTTTCCCAGCTCACTCTCTCGGCTGCCCAGAGTGTGCAGGCTGTGAGGGAAAGCTTCCTTCTGACCGCCCCGCAAGGTCCAGCCCCCTCGACTTAAGCCTCGCACTTTCTGGGCTTGGGGCTTTGTCGCCCCCACGGCGGGGAGGTGGTTTGCTGGCGGCCTGTGGCCCCGGGCACTGACCTGAAGCCTACAGTAGCACAGGACGGCAATGATGCAGAGGAGGATGACCGTAGCTAGGATTCCGCCAGTGATCACAACCGTTCCCGCTGTCATCCGCCCGACGCCCCATCAAACTCTGCAAAGACCCGTGGGGAGAGGTGAGGGCAGCTGACCTTTCTCAGCTGGAGGCGTGGTGGGGAGGAGGGCACCTGAGAGCAGGGAGGGCCCCGGGGACTGGGACGCCAGGAGCTTCCTGCAGACAGAGCCGCCAGGCCAGCCTAACCTGGGGGGCTTACAGCTGTGGGAGGGAAGAGAGGTGGCAGAGAGCTGACTGGGGGTGTAATTCTGCTCCCTGTTTCCATCTAGTTTCAAAGGTTCTTGCTGTCTTTCTGCTTTAATTCTCCTCTCCCCTCCCCCTACATCATGCTCAACCCCTGACCTTGGTCCTTCCCCCCACCACCCCATGGGACCAAGACACAGAGAATAAATAGCTTCTGTTTCTGAGGACTTAGCCTGTGTGAGGCACTGTGCTGAGCACTCCCCTGGTTATCTCAGTTAACCTTCAAAATCACCTTTCGAGACAGTTGTTAATTATCCCTGCTTTGCTCACAATGAGCTGAGGCTCTACCTGATCTGGCTGAGATTCCACCCAACCTGGTTCACCCCCAATGGCCAGGCTCTTAATTACGCCCTCTGGGGCACAGACACCCATGGTGCCCGAGCCCTTGACATAGGTGGAAGGCACAGGGTCTGAGCCTCAGAAGGTCCACTTGATTCTGCCCTGACTCCAAATAACCCACGTTTGGGTGGCATCTCTCCTCTCCTTCCAACTCTTGTGGGAAACAAGGGCAAGGCGAGCTCAGAGGGAGCCGGCAGGCACATTCTGACTCCTGGAAGGTTGGGGCGAGGCTGGGGAGATGGGTCCTGCTAAGGGGCGCTGGGTGGGGCAGAGGCATGCTCCGGATGTGAGGCTGTCTGAAGGCTGACTCCCCTTTCAGGTCACTGAACAAAGATTCTCGACGCCCCCCCAGGCACACAGGGGCCAAGGCTGGCTGTGCCAATGGAGCAGGAGGGTAGGAGGAGGCTTGGCATCTCGAGGACAGAAGGACGGCAAGCACTTACGTTCATAAAGGGAACGGTGGCCTGCAAGACAGCAAAAGAGACGGAGATGATGTTAGAAGAGCGTCATCCTGAAAAGGCCCCACGGGTGAGATTAGTCCCTGGGCCCCACCTCACCTCACCTGGCTCTCCCATCTTGTGCTCTGTCATCAGGAGGCCCACTGGCCCCAGATCTGTCTCCAGCTTGCAGCTTGAACCCAGTTATGACAGTCATCACCCTCTCTTCCAGTGGGCTCCCCCACCTCTGCCGACCTCTGAGTTACTGGTTCTACTGGAGCTGCCACAGAGGGTTTTATAGGTTGTCTCTCTCTCAAAGGGCAAGCAGGGACTGGAACACCAGCTGCTCAGGAAGTCATGTGCCCCACTGTGTTCACCTAGGGAAGGGGCACCTTTCCTCACCCAGAGACACCATCTGCTCCTCACCACTGTGCTCCTAGAGCCCAGCAGGGACTCGGCACTGCTTCCAACTCACTCAGAGACGCTCACAGTGTGGTCTGTGGACCAGTCCAGGCAGCACCTGGGAGCTGGTTAGATACGTAGCATCTCAGGCCTCTCCACCGGCCAAAGGAGTCAGAAGGCCCCAGGTGATTATCTGCACATTGGAGTTTGACAAGGTTGTGGCCTATTCCCCTAGGTGCCCAGAGTATCTTCTTTTAAAATGTTTATTTGTTGATAAATAAGCATTTATTTTTAATCTTTAAAATAAACGTTAAATGTTTATTTTAATAATAAATAAAAATAAATGTTTATTTTAAGCTGCGCTGGGTCTTTGTTGCTGCACACGGGCTTCCTCTAGTTGCGGAGAGTGAGGACTCTTCTTTGCTGCCACGCACAGGCTTCTCGATGCCACGGCCTCTCTTACTGCAGAGCATGGGCTCCAGGCATGTGAGTTTCAGTTCAGTAGTTGTGGCACACAAGCTTAGCTGCTCCGTGGCATGTGGGATCTTCCTGGACCAGGGATGGAACCTGTGTCCCCTGCGTTGGATTCTTAACCACTGGACTACCAGGGATGTCCTCCAATTGTTTGGCTTCTTCCAGTCTTCTATTCTTCACACCAGTTATGACTGTGTGCCGCATACCTGCACTGGTGCAATGGGTTCCTATAGGATTTCACTGGTTTTGTCTTCACGTCACCTACAGTCAGCCCTTCACCATGCCCCTGCACCCCTCTTACTCCAGAGCCTTCCTGGCACCATGTTGCCTTCAGGACACATTTATCTGGGTGCAGACTTAATTTAGACTGAACTTCAGTGGCTTTTCCCTCCCCGACTTCCCTGCATGCTCACCACCAATTTATCTTTCCCTTCTCACTGCCCATTGTCCCCCCTTCCCCCCCGCTCTGCAGGAATCCTCTGCCCATCAGATAGTCCCAATTCTTAAGACACGTATTGCCTAGTGATGAAAAGATACTTGATATACTTTATGAATCAGAGATGTGCAGACCAGGGGCTGTGAGAACACAGAGAAGGGGGCAGCTACCTACTTGGGGAAAAGTTCCAGAGAACATGTTATGTTCCATGAGCAGACTTCCAAACGCTGTGTGGGGGCTTGTCCTGCGGACAAGGTGCAGAGGGCAGAATGCCTAGTTCAGGAGTGTGAAAGAACACAGGGGTAACACATAGTTCTCGGGAACCGTAAGGATCCAGGAAGGCTGGGGGTAGGCATGAAGCAGGAGAGGCTGGAAGGCAGGCAAGGACATGGGATTTAAGCCCCATGGAGACAATGGGGGCTCCCGAAGGGTTTCAGTGGGGGAGACCATGATCTCTCACTTTTTCCATCTGTTTCAATTCTGCCCATCCTTCAAGGCTCTGAGAAGCCTTCCCTGACTGCCTCATCGTGATGCAATCTCTCTTTCTGCACTTCTACTGTAATGCCTTTCCAGGTGCCACTTTTCAAATCCTATCTTGGTGCAATGCTTGTCAACTTTCATGTGGGAACATTGTGACTCCTGCGCTACATTATGAGTCCTCTGGGGTCAGGAGTTGCAATTTATACTCTATCCTATCCTGCAGGATTATACATAGTGCCTGGCACACAGCAGGCACTTAATAAAAGTAATCACTTCCCCATATGGGCTTCCCTGGTGGCTCAGATGGTAAAGCATGTGCCTGCAATGCAGGAGACCTGGGTTCGATCCCTGGGTTGGGGATGATCCCCTGGAGGAGGGCACGGCAACCCACTCCAGTATTCTTGCCTGGAAAAGTCCATGGACAGAGGAGCCTGGCGGGCTTCAGTCTATAGGGTCGCAGAATCCAACACGACTGAGCGACGAACACATACATATACATCCTTCCCCATACGGCGTTTCTTTTACAGGCCTGGCAGTAATGACCCTGATTGACCACCAGAGGGCAGTGTATCTCTCCACTCAAGTCTCATCTGCAGTCAGAGCATCCTTGTTGGAAACTGGTTTGACTGCTGAAATGTGTGGTGAGCCATGCTTCAGGGTTCACTAGGGCATTTGTTGGGAGGTGGGGTGCAAAGGTGAACCTCAGCCTTGGGAGGACTTATACACCATCACAACAACATCACTCCTCCTTCTCCTGCTTCACTGGCCTGCTCACCCATGAGATGGCTCAAGAGACAGAGAGGGAAACAGATCACCAGTCCAGGTTGGTTGCATGAGACAAGTGCTCGGGGCTGGTGCGCTGGGAAGACCCAGGGGGGTGGGGTGGGGAGGGAGGTGGGAGGGGGGATCGGGGTGGGGAACACATGTAAATCCATGGCTGATTCATGTCAATGTATGGCAAAAACCACTACAATATTGTAAAGTAATTAGCCTTCAACTAATAAAAATAATTGGGAGAAAAAAAAATAAGAGAGAGCACAGAGGCCTAGCAAGTGACCAGAGGTTGGAGGAGGCAGCAGTGGCCCACTCTCCTGAAAGTCTTGGTCTGGTCCCCCAGGATATGCCCAGGCTGCTTTAGGAAGCAGGGAATTATGAAACCACACAGGAAGAGCGCTCTTCCTTCTCTGGCCTCCACGCCTGGCCTCCCTCTTTCAGCACGGTGAAGACTGCAGAGCAGAAGTGGCCTGGAAAGGGGAGCCCAGCAGTGCAGGTGGAGCCATGGGGCTGAAGGCCCATTCAAAGCCCAAATGTGCCACTTAGCAGGCACCCCATCTTGGAAGCTGGCCTTCTTTTTCATTTGTAAAAGAGAAATTACGAAAAAATGCAGCTTACGAGTATGACTGTGAATAAAATGATTTACATGTACTACGGCCCCTTGTAAACTCTAAGATACCCTTCACACATGGTTCTATGTGCAGAAAACAGAGACCCAGACATTCTGTGACTGCTTAAGTCTGGCCTCAAGTCGTAAACCAAGAAGGGACATGTAAAGTTCATGTAGTCAGCTAGCCAGGTCCCTGCCAACCTCCTGGATGGTCCAGTCCTGGTGGTGCAGCTTAGCATTTCAATTCCCACCCCCACAGGCTCTTTATGGTTTCAGCTGGGCTTATTTTCTCTTTGCAAATAGATGTAAATAATCACAACAACACTGAACCTAAACAGCTTTCGTTCTACAGTTTACAGTAAGTCCAAAATGGCGACCCACTCCAGTACTCTTGCCTGGAAAATCCCATGGACAGAGGAGCCTGGTAGGCTACAGTCCATGGAGTTGCAAAGAGTCAGACATGACAGCGACTTCACTTTCTTTCTTTTTCTTTTCTCCTACATACCAATGCTTTCTGTTCTGAGAGCACAATCATTAAGTCCAATTTGTTTGTTAAATCCAACAAAGTTCGCCTAGGTACCCAACTAACACAACTGGCTATACAGTGAGTGAGTGAGTGAAGTCGCTCAGTCGTGTCCAACTCTTTGCGACCCAATGGACAGTAGCCTGCACCAGGCTCCTCCATCCATGGGATTTTCGAGGTGAGAGTACTGGAGCAGGTTGCCATTTCCTTCTCCAGGGAATCTTCCCAACCCAGGGATCGAACCCAGGTCTCCCCCATTGTAGACAAATGCTTTACTGTCTGAGCCACAGTGTACTGCAATAGGTTTGTAATACTTTTCACACAAACAATACATAAAAACAACACAAAACATTTTTAATCTTACACTAGAGTACCTTGAAAAGTACAGTGGTACAACAGCTGGCATTCGGGGACCAGGCAAGAAGAGTTACTGACTGGAGAAGGAAGAGGAGATGGGAGACGGTAGAGCTGAAGGACTGTCAACAATAGGACACGGAGGGCAAGCTACAATTTCACTCATGCCTGATGTTCATCACACAGGTTTTGGTTCCTTGCTGGATTCAATTCTATCTGTTGTTAAGTCACTAAGTTGTGTCTGACTCCTTGCGACCCCATGGGCTGCAGCACACCAGGCTTCCCTGTCCTTCACTATCCCTTGGAGTTCACTCAAACTCATGTCCATTGAGTCGCTGATGCCATCCAACCATCTCCTTCTCTGTTGCCTCTTCTCCTCCTGCCCTCAGTCTTTCCCAGCATCAGGGTCTTTTCCAATGAGTCGGTTCTTCGCATCAGGTGGCCAAAGTATTGGAGCTTCAGCATCAGCCCTTTCAATTAATATTCAGGGTTGATTTCCTTCAGGTTTGACTGGTTTGATCTCCTTGCTGTCCAAGGGACTATCAAGTCTTCTCCAGCATCACAGTGTGAAAGCATCAATTCTTCAGCACTCAGCCTTCTTTATGGTCTAACTCTCATATCTGAACATGACTACTGGAAAAACCATAGCTTTGACTATATGGATCTTTGTTGGCAAAGTGATGTCTCTGCTTTCTAATATGCTGTCTAAGTTGGTCATAGCTTTTCTTATAAGGAGCAAGCATCTTTTAATTTCATGGCTGCAGTTACTGTCCAAGGTCATTTTGGAACCCAAGAAAATAAAGTCTGTCACTGTTCCCATTTGTCCCCTGTCTATTTGTTATGAAGTGATGGGAATGGATGCCATGATCTTTGTTTTCTGAATGTTGAGTTTTAAGTCAGCTTTTTCACTCTCCTCTTTCACCTTCATCAAGAGGTTCTTTAATTCCTCTTCGCTTTCTACCATTAGGGTGGTGTCATCTGTATATCTGAGGTTATTGATATTTCTCTCAGCAATCTTGATTCTAGCTTGTGCTTTATCCAACCTGGCATCTCTCATGATGTACTATGTGTATAAGTTAAATAAGCAGGGTGACAATATACAGCCTTGACATATTTCTTGATCAATTTTGGACCAGTCTGTTGTTCCTTGTCTGGTTGTAACTGTTGCTTCTTGACCTGCATACAGGTTTCTCAGGAGGCAAGTAAGGTGGTCTGGTATTCCCATCTCTTTAAGAATTTTCCACAGTTGGTTGTGATCCACACAGTCAAAGGCTTTAGTGTAGTCAATGAAGCAGATGTTTTTCTGGAATTCCCTTTTTTTCCCTATGATCCAACAGATGTTGGCAATTTAACCTCCAGTTCCTCTGCCTTTTCTAAATCCAGCTTGTACATCTAGTTCTTAGTTCACATACAGTTGAAGCCTAGCTTGAAGGATTTTGAGCATAACAGTGTGTGAAATAAGCGAAACTGTATGGTAGTTTGAACATTCTTTGGCATTGCCCTTCTTTGGGATTGGAATGAAAACTGATGTTTTCCAGTCCTGTGGCCACTGCTGAGTTTTCCACATTTGCTGGCATATTGAGTGCAGCACTTTAACAGCATCATGATGATTTGCCTAAAGTCATATAATAGCACATGTCTGAGTCAGGACTGAAGGGCCAGTGCTGTGGAGTCCCTATGTACCCTCGCAGGGCCTGGACAGAACGGATTCATTGGGGACCAACTCAGGGGCTGAGGGCAGCCAAAGAGAACGAAAGCTGTTGCCAGCTGCAGAGCCCCGGGCCCGCCCTCTGTGACCAGGACTTTCTGGAGCTCCCTTTCCACCAGCACCTCTCTCCACCCAGCACCCAGGCACCTTCTCCCGTGCCTCAGACTTACGTGAACCAGCTGGACCAGTGACAGCCCAGTCACGCCGGCTGTGCCTGAGCAGACAGCAGCTGGGGGCGCATCATGGCCAAGGGCATCAGTTCCTGCCAGAGAAGGGAGGGAAGAAGGTCAGTGAGAGCTGGAGGGGAGGCTGAGAGGACAGACGGGTACACGCTGGCACCTGGCTGTGACCCCAGGACCTGGAGTGGACACCCCCAAGGAGGCTTGTTTCCGGACCTCCATGGCTGCCTGGGTCTGAGGCCTCCCCAGCCTGAGAACCTAGGTTCAGACCAATATGGCCACATCCTATCCCAGCCTCGTTTCCTTCCTCCGTGTCACTGCCTAGAACCCTCTGCCTGACGCAGCATCAGGACAAGAGCAACCTCCTGCTCTGGGAAGCGAGGCTCAATGCGAAAAGGGAGTCCGGCTCCTCTTTCATGCTCCTGCTGGAGAATGCTGCCCTGTCCCCTGGTGGACATGTCCCTTTTGGCTGCATAGCCAATCTCTCTCACTCTGGCCCCATATATTCTTTCCCATCCCCTTACCCCATTCTTTCCTGGAACTGTCTGTATTCCTAGTGCCCAGAGCTGCTCACACCTTTCTCTTACTCCAATACTCTGACTCCTCTGGCCAACATGCCAACCAGACACTTGGATGGATAAGTTCATGCTGACATGCTGATGGAGGTGGAGGAGGTGAGACCCACCGAGGAATCCAGTGCAGGCAAATTATTGGGCATCCCTTCAAGCCAAAATTCTTTATCCACTCAACCTTATTTAGAGGAGCATCTGGGCCCGACTTAGGAATGGGATATGGGGGGCGGTGGAGAGAGGAAGGGCGCCCCCGATGGTGATGCTGGGCTGCTGCTCACTGTCCCGAGGAGAACCTTCTCTGCTGGGTGTGTGTTTTTATTAGGGAGGGAACCTAACCATGAACGGGATGTGCTGAGCCACCTTCCATGGGGACAGAGCTGACGACCTCCAGGATCTCTGGCTTAGCAGGAAGTTGGAGGTCAAAGCACAGACATTTTCATGCCTCAATGACTGGCACCTATCTGAGTTCAGCAGGTCTCAGGAACAGAGCTCCCAGAGAAGTTGAGAAAGCAGTTGGTCACCTGCAGCGGTGCTCCATCCCTGCCTTCACCTCCTTCTAGATCTAGGCCTTAGCAATGTCTTCAGTGCCTGCCTTGGATGTTCTGGACACCCAGGCTTTCTCTTCTAAAAGATGTTTTCACTCATATGAAAATGTATGTTGTGTGTAGCTGGATGTCAGAGTAGGATTCTTCCCACCTAAGTGTTGACTGAGATGCCAATGGGTTGACATCAGAAGACTAAAGTGAGTTTGGAATAGGTCTCTCCTCCCTGGTCATGTGCAGGGAAACATACATGGGGATGCAAATCTGCTTCAGGATGCATGTTGTTGTTCAGTCGCTAAGTCATGCCAGACTCTTTGTGACCCCGTGGACTGCAGCATACCAGGCTTCCCTGTCCTTCACTGTCTCCTGGAGTTTGCTCAGATTCATGTTTGCTAAGTCAGGATTCATGAGTGCTTTGTAAAAGAGAGATGGGTCAATAATCTGGTGAAGATTTGGTGAGGAAGATTTCCTTGGCAAGAGCTGTGGCTGAGCCATGAATCTCTCACTCCAACCAGCAAAAGAGACAGGAGGGCCATGCAATAGGCAGGGCTTGTTGTCTTGAGTCCTGCCCAATAGTGCCACCTGGAGGCGTGAGAAGACCCCAGTTGAGGAGGCCACAGGTGGCCTCCAGATGCCCCAGGGGCTGAGCAAGGAGTTGCCAAGAAGGCCAGGAATCGAGATGATGTGTTTGCCTGGGCTAAGTGCCCATCAGGGAACCTCAGAAAAGCCTCAGAAAGCATTCACAAAAGCAGGGACCAGTCTAAAGCTACTCTCTGTCCGCTGCTGCTGCTGCTAAGTCGCTCAGTCGTGTCCGACTCTGTGCGACCCCATGGATGGCAGCCCACCAGGCTCCTCTGTCCATGGGATTTTCCAGGCAAGAGTACTGGAGTGGGGTGCCATTGCCTTCTCCCTCTGCTCTCTAGCCAGTAAGAATTCTCCATTTCACAGCAGCTCTTGAGGATAGCGGGAGGCAGGGGGAGCAGGGGGAATGTAGACAGCAAGGGATTTTGCCCAATGCCCCAACTACAGCGGATCCAAACTGGAGGATAGGAGAAGAGTAATGCTGTTGGATGGGGAGTATTTTGATTATCACGCATGACTGACACTCTAATTTATGAGTTGAAACTGTGTCTACAACTTAGAGTGACTATGAGACTATCACCTAGGAGGGAATGAAAAAGCAATGGGCCTGGCATAAGGGCAGGGGCAGATTTCTCCCACTGAATACATTTTAAACTAAAGGGATACTTGATCATATACCATGATCAAGTGGGATTTATCCCAAGGATGCAAGGATTCATCAATATACATGTATAAATCAGAGTGATACATGACATTAACAAACTGAAGAATAAAAACCATACAATCATCTCAGCATATGTAAAAATTTTTTGACAAAATTCAACACCCATTTATGGCAAAAATTCTCCAGAAAGTGGACACAGAGGGAACATATCTCAACATAGTAAAAGCTATATATGACAAACCCATAGCTAACATCATTCTCAAGGGTGAAAAACTGAAAGCATTTCCTCTAAGATTAGGAACAAGACAAGGATATCCACTCTCACCTCTTTTATGCAACATGGTTTTGAAAGTCCTAGACACAGCAATCAGAGAAGAAAAAGAAATAAAAGAAATTCAAATTGGAAAAGAAGGAGTAAAACTGTCACTGTTTGCAGATGATGTGATATTATCTATAGAAAATCCTAAAGATGCTACAAGAAAACTAGAGCTCATTTATGAATTCGGTAAAGTTGCAGGTTACAAACTTAATACACAGAAATCTATTGCATTTCTATACACTAAAAATGAAAGATCAAAAAGAGAAATTCAAGAAACAATTCCATTTACCAGGCATTGAAAAGAATAAAATACCGAGGAATAGAGCTAGCTAAGGAGACAAAAGACCTGTACTCTGAAAACTATAAGGCACTGATGAAAGAAATAAAAGATGACACAAACAGATGTAGAAATACCATGTTCTGGGATTAGACAGATTAATACTGTGAAAATGACTATACTATACCAAAGCAATCAATAGATTCAATGCACTCCCTATAAAATTACCGATAGTATTTTTCACAGAATTAGAATAAACAATTTTACAATTTGTATGGAAACTAAATAGAAGATCCTGAATACCCAAAATAATCTTAAGAAAGAAAAATGGAGCTGGAGGAATTGGCCTTCCAGATTTCAGGCTATACTACAAGCTACAGTAATCAACAGTATGATGCTGGCACAAAAACAGAAATTAGATCAATGGGACAGAATAGAAAGTCCAGAGATAAACCCATGCACCTATGGTCACCTAATCTATGACAAAGGAATCAAGACTATACAATGGACAGAAAACAGTCTCTTCAACAAGTGGTGCCAGGAAAACTGGCCAGCTACAAATAAAAGAATGAAATTAGAATACTCTCTAATACCATACACAAAATAAACTCAAAATGTATTAAAGATCTAAATGTAAGGCTAGAACTATAAAGCTCTTAGAGGGAAACATAGGCAGAACACTCTTTGACATAAATTGCAGCAAGATCTTTTTTGATCCACTTCCTAGAGTAATGAAAATAAAAGCAAAAATAAATAAGTGGGACTAATTAAATTTAAAAGCTTTTGCACAGCAAAGGAAACCATAAACAAAATGAAAAGAATAGGAGAAAATATCTGCAAACGAATTGACCAACAGGGATTAATCTCCAAAATATACAAACAGCTCATGCAACTCAGTATCAAAAAAACAACACAATCAAAAAATGGGCAGCATTTATGTATGGTAGAAACCAACACAAATGTTATAAAGCAATTATCCTCCAATTAAAAATAAATGAATTTTTGAAAAATGGGCAGAAGATCTAAACATACATTTCTCTAAAGAAGATATACAAGGAAGCTGAAAATCACATGAAAAGATGTTCAACATCCTAATTATTAGAGAAATGCAAATCAAAACTACAATTAAAACTATCATCTCACATAAATTAGAATGGCCATTAACAAAAAATCTACAAATGATAAATGATGGAGAGGGTGTGGAAAAATGGGAACCCTCCTACACTGTTGGTAGGAATGTAAATTCATATAGCCATTATGGAAAACAATATGGAGAGTATTAAAAATCTAAAAACAGAACTACCATATGACCCAGCAATCCCACTCCTGGGCATATACCCAGAGAAAAGACATAATTCAAAAAGATACATGCATTGCTATGTTCACAGCAGCACTATTCACAAAAGCCAAGACGTGGAGACAACCTAAGTGTTCATCAAGAGAGGAATGGATAAAGAAGATGTGGTACATATAGATAATGGAATATTACTCAGTCATCTGTTGGTGTTACTTAGTTACTAAGTTAAGTCTGACTGTGAGACTCTATGGAGTCCACCAGGCTCCTCTGTCCATGGGGTTTCCTAGGCAAGAATACTGGAGTGAGTTGCCATTTCCTTCTCCAGGGGATCTTCCTGATTGAACCCATGTCTTCTGCTTGGCAGGCGAATTCTTTACCACTAAGTCACCTGGGAAGCCCTTACTCAGCCATAGAAAATAACAAAATAATGCCACTTGCAGCAACACAGATAGACCTAAAGATTGTCATAGAGTAAAGTAAGTTAGACACGGAAAGACAAATACCATGCCATGTCATTTATATATATAATTTTTTTAAAAGAGTACATACAAATGAATTTAATTACAAAACAGAATCACAAATGTAGAAAACAAATTTATGGCCACTAGGGGATGTGAGGGGAGGATAAACTGGAAATTGGGATTGACATATATACACTCCTATATATAAAATAGATAGCTAATAAGAACATGCTATATACCATAGGGGACTCTACATAATACTCTGTAATGAACTATATGGGAAAAGAATCTAAAGACCCTTTGCTGGAAAAGACTGAAGGCAAAAGAAGAGGGAGGCAGAAGATGAGATGGTTGGATAGTATCACCAAC